AGATTTAAAAGGGGGGGGGGCGGGGGTAAAATGCAAATTTTAATTCGATGTCGATAAAAATCGGTACATCTGATGAAAATGTGTTTCTTATATTTTCTATGGTGACAATTTTTCGGTCGAGTGGTGGAAATCGGTTGCACATACGTGGCCTTCCCTGTTTGTTGCTCTCGCGTCGACTACGAACGCGAGCAGGTGTCAGTCTGCCGAGAACTGGAAAGGTCACGGGAAAGCTTATGGTATATATTCAATCACATTTCGCGATTTTTAAGCAGAATCTACTCGAAAATCATCACCCCGGCTTGAAAACTGCGCACGTCGTCGATTCTCGAAGCCCGCTTCTTGGGGCAACACAACCTCTCTTGCTCAAGATTTAGATACGGTTTAAAAACTTTAAAACTTTTTAACGTGTTTTCTAGTGCAAACTCTTTCATTAAATTTCTGTTTTTGTAAATGTGCTTTACCTGTGCCACTTCCGTCAGCAGGCAGGGGGGCATGTAGCAGCCGTTGAGGCGGACGGCCTGGAGGTGGCGCCGCTTGTGGCGCAGCAGCAGCACGAAGAAGAAGCAGTCGCCGTCGTCGAAGAAGTCGGTGCTGAGGCCGCTGATGTCGAGCTCCCGGAGCGACGGGCAGCCCAGGCCGACGTCGGCGTGCTTGAGCAGGCACCGCCACGCGCCCTTGAGCACGAGCGTGCGCAGCGCGCGCAGCGAGCCCACCACGGACAGCGACTCCAGGTCCTGGCCCGCCGACGCCGTCGACGCCCCGCCCACCGCCGCCGTTCCCTGCGAGCAGATCCCGAATGCCGGGATAGAGGTGAGACAATGACTACCAGCATTTAAAACTTTTTAAATTTGAGCCTTATTGCACCAGTTTCTCGGTCTGGGATGTCTATTATATAAATTCGTGTTTCCTGTACAGAAAATGGGGCGCCAAGGATAGCGCCTGCCACGCGCTGGGTAGGCAAACCCGCCTAGCAGCTGTGTCGAGACGGCGGCCCGCCCACACCCGCCCAGGGCGCCCGTCCTCGTGCAAGTGAACGTTTAGACCAATTTTTTTCCTCGCGTCCCCGTTTCTTCTTGTGGGAGCACCTCGAGTAGTGGAAAGTCTACCGCACACAAGATTTCAAGTCACCTGTTCCTGGTCGCTCGCCTTGAAGCTGCACCCGGCCACGTTGGAGTTGATGAAGAGGGTGAGCGTCTCCAGGTGGTCCTTGAAGTGGAGCAGGATCCGCTCGATGACGCTGCCGTCGATCTGAGGAGAATGTCGGGAACATCATCACGACGGCTGCATCCTCTGGCACGGCATCCTCGAGCGCGCTCCCTACCTGACTGGTGGTCTGCAGGTACAGCTCCCGGACGCGGCTGACGCCGCTGCTCAGTGCGTCGGCCACCTCGGCGGGCATGTCGCAGGTGTAGCCCGAGTAGTCCAGGTAGCGGAGCGAGGGCGCGCGCCGCAGCACCTCAATGAAGTCATTCTGCAGGTGAGAAGGGCGCCACAATTGATTTTAGTTTGAGTGGATTTATTTAAGAAAGACAGCTCGTGCCTACGACCTCGTCCGATTTGGCTGATATTTGGTGGACATGTTCCTCAATTGAATTGAAAAAAAGGCCAGGAAGCGTTTGGCCGAGAAAAATTAACTTCCGGAACTGTGGGCAAATTAGTGGTTATGCAGGCATTTTGGGTATTTTGCGCTATGACTAGAGTTTTGGTCCTAGACTGTCATCTCAGGTGTCTCCGGATGCAGAATGGACCAAGGAACAAGAATATGCCATCGGAATGTCTCTACGACCCATAGTTTTTGAGATATTGTCAAAAATAGCGAAATTTCATTTACCCAGATCACCCCAAAAAAGTTTCTGACCCATTTTCCCCAAGAAAGTTTTGAAATTTCGCTATTTTTGACAATATCTCAAAAACTATGGGTCGTAGAGACATTCAGATGGCATATTCTTGTTCCTTGGTCCATTCTGCATCCGGAGACACCTGAGATGACAATCTAGGACCAAAACTCTAGTCATAGTGCAAAATACCCAAAATGCCTGCAAATAAACCACTAATTTGCCCACAGTTCCGGAAGTAAATTTTTCTCGGCCAAACGCTTCCTGGCCTTTTTTTCAATTCAGTTGAGGAACATGTCCACCAAATATCAGCCAAATCGGACGAGGTCGTAGGCACGAGCTGTCTTTCTTAAATAAATCCACTCTTTACCACTTTAGTGATGGGGGTGCGACAACATTTTAAATTCAAAATTTTTTGGGTTAGTTTCCTTTTCTAAAACATGAATGGCAAATTTTTAATTTTGGAACACTTTTATGACTTCGCCACGTGCATGCTTGTCTCGGATTCTCTGGCACGGCCTACCGGCCGGACGCGCCCGGCGGGTAGGCCGCCCCTCGCACCTGCGTGTCTCTGGTGTAGCGGAGCTCCGCGCCGAGCCAGAGCGAGTCGTCGTAGGCCAGGCGCTGCCACACGTCGCACACGCGCGCCGCCCGGCACACCAGGTCCTCCAGCGGCAGCAGGGAGAACACGTGCAGCAGCAGCTCCTCGGGCAGGCACTCGATCGTCTGCGTATCAAGGAGGAAGCGAAAAAAAAGATAAAATTAAAGACGTAGGACATAAAAAGGCATCGCGCGAACGTCAACCGCCTCTCAAGTGGATGGAAAAGCTCTTCGATTAATACAAAGTTGCAAGTTTACTGAAGATGAGGCGACTTGTGGCCAAGGAATCTCTCTCTGGTTTACGGGGTATGAGGACTGTATCGCCTTGGGCTCGCACAGACACACACACAAAACGCTCAATTCCGATCGCAGGCCTAAAAGCGCTTGCTTGACGACCGGCACTAAACGTGTCACATTCGCAGAACGAGTATTCCCCCTTTTTTGTGGTGTTTATGATGCGCCCTCTGCAGAGTCATACGGTTCCGATGTAGGCTTTAGCAGGCAGTCATTATCTCTCTCTCTCTCTCCTTCTCTCTTTTTCGCACTCTCACTCTCCGTCCTCGTGGGGGCTCCGGATTGCGGTGGTGTGTTGCCTCTCCATCCGCTCCTTATAGATTACTACAATGTACCCAAAATGTAAGACCGCGATACGTTTCGTTTCCCGTCGCCCAACAGCACTCACTCACTCACTCACTCACTCACTCACTCACTCACTCACTCACTCACTCACTCACTCACTCACTCACTCACTCACTCACTCACTCAC